TCGAGTGAACAAAAAACGTCTGCTTCTTGGAAAGTTCAGTGCCAGATAGGGAACAATGCGCTCTAGAAATGCTGGAAGTTTTGAATTTCTGGCGCTATCACAGATTTTTTCACAAATTTTCAATGTTCAGTGCGAAACTCAGTTCGCAAATCTAGCTACTGCTGAGTGAAAAAACCGATTTTTCAGAAATGAAAAACGACTAGTACGTCCAATATTTAGCATCGAATGGATAAGATTGTGTTCTACAAATGCTGAAAATTTCGAACTGCTGTCATCTTCCGAGATTTTTCTACGAGTTTTAGATATTTAAAGCGAAAATGAGTTTGCAAATCCAACACCACACTGATTAACTAAGAAATTAATTTCTCAAAAACGACAACCAAAGCTACTTGTGGAGTTTAGTGCCAAAAGCAGAAACGTGTATTGCGGAAATTTTAAGAGTTGTTTGAGCGGAAGTTTTGGACAAATTTTCAAAATTCAATCGAAAAATTCCAACCGCGAAAATTCCAACCATTTTCGATTGTCGTGTCCTCGCGCTTTATTTATTGCTTCCCACATATCCAAAACCCACTGGATCAAGGTATCCTTAAGGAACGTGCGTTGCCTCGAAAATTTCCTAAATTTACTCCTGAAAAGGTTCAGATTGATGAAGGCCGGGAGCTTCCAAGTTAATTTTTCAAGATTGTGGGTTTTCTCTATGTATTAAAGCTCGCGCTTAGTTGTTTTTGCCCCATAAACTTTTCAATCTAATTATTAATCATTGTTGATAAACCTTGTCTTTGTCAAAATATTTTTATTGCGAACTGAGACGTAGGCATTTGTTGTGTGGGCAGTTTCGAATTGCTGTCATCATCAGGGATTTTTTGAGAAATTTTCAAGTTTTAATCCGAAAATGTGTACATGCTTTGAAAAATGCACAGCGAAAAAAAATGTGGCCCTCGAAAGGGCCTTTGGCTGCAAATAGACAAATATGGTGTTTTAGGAGTCAGAACAGTTTCGGTCTTGAGAGTTTCCAACTGCAGTC